CTGCCTGCTGCCGCTTGCGGGCACGAACCGCGCTACCGCCGTCAGCAGGCAGTCTTATTACGCCCGCACTCAACTACGCGAACTAAGTACTCTTCTTAGGCCGGCCACACATCGAATAACAATCGCGTGGTCTAGCTTACGCGTGAATTCGGTCCATACATCAAACGGTGTTCGTTCTCCACTGAAAATTTCGGATCTTTTCTATATCGCTTGGCGGACAACATTTTTTGTATGTTCGATCCAGCGGTTTGGTTCCAGCGACGACTCTCATTTTCGAATCGACGAAAACAATTTTAAAATCAGTTAGCGAATCGAGTCGGGAGGTGGCGAGAAACCCTCGAGTTCGATTAATCGGCGAGGACCTGCTGCCCGGTCAGAGGTAACTTTAGAACGTTTCTTTATTCGATTCGTTGTATCGATAAAACGTGTTTCTGCATGGAGGTATTCACCGAGTATTCTTTTTTTTCATCCTTCCTTCTCGAAAGTAATTTTGGCATTTTATCGATACGCGTGTATACTATACTCTTGGTATAGCGTAATTCGATTGACATTCATACAGTTGCAATCTTTATTGAAATATATATACATATGTAATAGATAAAAGTATATAAATTTATTAATAAAAAAAATTTACTTGAATTTTAGTAAAAAAATGAAATTTAATAAAATTCATGTTATGAATATAGAGCGCAGTTTAGAAATTTGTATGTTCCATCGGATAGAGTGACATTGTCTCCCCCCCGCGCCAAATTGACGAATCAAAATTCGACAGGCACGCTTGACCTGGAATGCCAGTTTTACGCGCAACGTACGAAGGAACGCGTGTGTCGTGAGTTTCGTGTGTAAATAGAAGAGGACAGACGCGTCCTATCCGCCGCCGTGGCTGTGGCGTCGATTAGTTTCATTTTCTTGGTAGTAGAAGCACGTCGCTGTTAACATTGACGGTCATTACGTTGTTTGTCGCGCGCCAAGAATTCGCGTCCGCGCATACCGAACTGTCACGATTACCGCGTGTCACGAATTCATCTTATATTTTGATCGTCCAGAATGTCGTCTTATTTAAGTCCGCAAAACCTACGTAGATAATCAACTGTGCTATGTCGTGAAAGGTGGCTCGGTAATTCGAGGAAGATGAAAACATTGAATCGTGATAGATTCGACAAAAACAATGGTTAGTTTCAAGCCTCCGTGTAAACACATGCTTAGTGATCACTTTCGCTGTATATCAAAATCGACTTTAACCCTTCAATTAGATCGTAATATAATATGGGGCACTTCGTTAATTTCTATCTTTATCAATACAAAGAAACAAATTTCAAAATTTACCTTAAAATAAATCTATAATATTTTTTCTTTACTTTTCTTTAGAAATTATACATTTATTTACACGATATCAATATCTTGTTAGTATTCACATTGAGGCGCTAATCAAGGCCCACTTATGAATAATAATTTACCAACCAATAATATCAGTAAACGAGTTACAGGTTGTAGAGTTTTCCCTTATAACTTTATAATTATTTGTTGTGACAATAAAGTAATTTGTAAAAATTTGTACGTAAAAAAATTGCAGTTTTCTTAATTATCTAATTTGTTATTCTTGTTCAAGGATATTTATTGATACCGGTAATTTGTAACTTGAAACTTGTAAAATTTCACTAATAACCTTATAATTAGTCGAATTGTCTAAGAGGGTCCTAGCATAGTACGTCAGATTTCTGAATGAATGAATATCAGAAAAATATCACTAATAACTAATATCTATCTTTTCCATTACTACTACTTATATTATAGAATAAATAAAAAGTGGCACTCGTTGATACCTACGGAAATTGGAAGGTTAAACGTCACTGGTAGTCGATTAAAATTAATCGATATCATTAATCGATATCATGGTTCTGATTCGTTGTCGACTATACATATGTGACAGGTCGCCGCGGCGAATCGAATGTGCATTATTTTGCTACTCTCGATCGTTGACGTGCACGGAGATGTGGTGGTCAGTGTGAAGACTGCTTAATAGCGAGGAACATGTGCAACCACGGAATAGTGGCGAAGCTGATGTTGCCGGGGCACGAGCTACACTGTGACCACTCTGTTCTCGACGAACCCTGACCGATTCCGCCAGTTCGTTTCACCAGCTGACTGGGACTGAAAACACGCTGCGGTGAACGCGTACGTTTGAATATTCGTACGGTCGAATTCGTGAGACGCGCGCGTTCGGAGAACTCGGTAAAAGTGTCGCCTTGAGTTAACGCGTATGGTGTATAGACCGAGTTTCTTTAAGAAGAAGCGGTGTGTTCACAAAATTATACGTTTTCACGTACATTCGGTACGCTATGAACATCAACGTTCCTGGATGTAACGGGTGGTTCGCAAGTAAGTGTCCAAATATTTTTTTATGTTATACTTGTAATCTTTCGCCGCCATTTTTTCTCGACCAACAGCAGCGCCTTTTTTGAATGCAATAAGCGTACATGTACATATATCTGTAATCGATGGATTTTCTTCTGAGGTAATATACGAATCAATTATATATAAATGTGATCGCTTTTCAAACGAAAATTCGTAGTTCGTTCATCATATTTGATTAGCTTTTTCGAATATTTCAACGACGGGTTCGACGAAAAGCAAACATTAGCGTTCGAGGCAGAGGGTGATGTAACTGGACACTCGCAACTTGTCGCGACACGAGCCATATATGTGCAGCAATTTACGTTTGATGCATTGTTTTGATAATTAAACAAACTTAGCAACGTAATTTCATTTATCCGAATAGATCTTTTCTCTCTTAAAATCATTCTTTCTACTAGTCGTAAAGGTAACATATCTAATATGTTAGAGTTAAATAACAATAATGTTACTTAGTCGAGATTTAAAAATCGCGCCATATTCCTACGCACATCGGTTCAAAGGTTAGCATTGTACTTCGATCGTGGTTGTCTCAAGCGTTTAATTAAAATTTTTATGCCCTGCTAACGAGTTTTTGTCACTTTAATATACGAAACTTATCTCCTCTACGTTCGCGCTCGTTTAATTCAATTGAAATTTCCAATTATACGTTTTAGGGAACATTAACGAGACAGGAAAGTGTAAGAAAGACCTATCGTGGTTGACAAAAATATTTAAACATTTATACAGAAAACTTCTATGTAGTAGTTAAGCAGTATGACCACGATAGTCGCGTCTCACTATATTACTAGTGAAATTTCGAAATGTATATGTGTATACATAAAAATTTTCTACGATAAGTGTTGAAATACTTTCATGAGGCATTGTGTACTACCTCGACATATGAAAATATGGTACGTTCCTCGTCGTAAAATGTTTTCGTGCGCCTAATTTTGATCGCGGATCAGTCTCGACCAGAGCTTCGCAGATCGACCGTAATGTATATAATATACTTATTTTCTGTTGCTCACGTATCACCATCGTTTCCTACCCTCTTAAACATTTATCTGTAATGGACCCTTGCCTATTGGACTAATCGTGACCATGCATCACGTTCCTCTATCTTCATCTAATTCTTCATCGCTCGATGCAACGGTGCAACCTGCATGCCGCGTAACCGCATTCTTTCTTGGCCGTTTCTGGATACCCTGGCCACGTGGATTTTCAAGCATATCTCTCTTTTTCCCTCTCTGCCCTGCCTGGATACAAATTTCAGCAGCGGAGGGGATCCATGTCTGGGGAAAGTTCTGGAGACTTTGGGTCACGCCATGTTGGTCATTTGGTCGAGTGTCGCTTGGTCGGGTGGATAAAGAGCGTGTTCTCAAAATCGATTTTCAGAGAGAAACGGTTAATTTATGCGATTGGAAAGTGGAGGTTTTGCGAAAAGTCATTTTTAATATTTTTCCCTCTTTTGCTTTTGAAACAAACGAAATACCGTAGAATTTGTTAGAATTTTCCAATAAATACAGCGAGTAGATATGCATATATCTATAACCAACAATGTGTATAGATAAATTAAAGGGAAGATGAGTTAATCCGTCACTGGGATTGCAGATCTCTTGTATATTTACTTTTTCATTTAAACAGAAATTAATTTGTCTTTACTATCGTTTAATTCCGTGGTCGCAAGATTCATAGGAACGTAATACATAAATTCAAATTCTTTTATTTTGAAGTTCAGTATGCTATATAGAAACCGTCAAGATAAATAATTGCTTATAGCGAACAGAATTTCTCGCGATACTCGGCATCGATATATATTGAACGATGATAACGATTACTAACGATCTTCTTCTCGGGTTCACGGAATGGGAACTCCACGGAATTATTCATGAATATAATTCATTTCGTTATCGGATTTATCGTCTGCGGAGGGGGGGATTTCTTTCTTTTTCTATCCGACTGAAAGTGTGAAGAAACTCTTTTCGCCGGGCTTATTTAGCCGTTCCAGGT